AAAAAAAAAAAAAAAAAAAAAACACCAAAGAGATAATAAAATATCATAAAGAAACAAAGATGGAGAAGATTAACACGGATTGCAAACGACAATTTAGGCTAAATTTAAATGTGCAAACCGTGACTTAGCTCCTTTAATCGCGTGACCACAAAGAATGTGTTTTTTTTTGCGTGATTACCAAGCTCTTAGCCAAGCCAATAATTCTCCGTAGGATGGCCATGTGGTGATTCCAAGCGTTCTGATCTTTCACAAACATCGAGGCCTGATGGTCATGTCTTTTATGTTGTCAAACGGGAAGCATATCTTATGGCCACATTCTTAGACATAACTCGCGACTATGGATTTTTGTCGAACATCAAGACAGTGTCTTTGTACTCGGAAAACCATGTCTTCAATGATCTCCCTGCCTGGCTAAGTGTAGAGGCAAAATGATCACACTTTTTCTGATTCTAGTCACTATTCCAAATGTTTCGGTTTCCTCCGCGGGGAGAGTGGGTTGGATAAGGTTCATTTCTCGGAACCCGTGCCCTATTTCAAACCAAAGTAAGTGTTTTCCTGAGAGAAACATTTGGTCCGTGGCAATGCAATTTTTTGAAATCTAAATTTCAGTCAAGCTTGATACAACAATATGCTTCAGCTTTAATTAAGTTTCACCCTTTAGCCAAAAATGTAAATTGCACATGCGTTAAGGCTTCTCGTGCCATCAGTGTTATCTGACTGCTTTAATGATTATTTTATAGTACTTCTCATTAAATAAATTATTATAAAAAAGAAACATATTTTCTTTCAATGCTGAGTAGCCTGCAGCCATCGCTAGAGAAGTATCAGTTTGAGCAATCCAACGTTGAACTCCCTCCACTCCAGAAGTAAACTTGTCCGCCTGAACTGCAACCACTCCATCGTCTGCTTACACTGGAACTACTATGGCGGCAGCTAATCATTTAACGCCGACCTCCTTGAGCCACTGATTCAGAAGCTTGGACAACAACCTCAACGACGCCTGCCGCTTGCAGCGGAACTGACATGGGAGCACCAACAGGCTGAGGGTGATTCCCCGTCGCTCCAAAGGTAGGTACCGGGATCGCCGGAAGAAGACCGCTCCACTCCTGTGTGGCATCGCAACTGTCGTCTCCTTGTACTGGAATTACCATAGCAACACTAACAGTTCGTTGTGTCATGAATTCACCGGTGGAGACCGATTCAGCGTCAGTGGCAGGATTTAGAAATTGTTGTTCCTGGAATTTACAAAGATGGGAACACAGTATAAAGAGGAGATTATGTAATTTTATCTCCAACAAGGCGGACAATGCAGGACCAAAAAGTAATTCGTCATGACTCAAACTGCAGTCGAACTTTCCGTGAAAAAAATTTCGTGGGTCCCTTTAAAACATTAGAGGTGCTTTTTGGAATTCACCGGGAAATTCACAGGTTTGCGCGTAGAGCACTTGGATTAACTAAAGTTTCTAAAATAGGACTCACCGGTTCTGACCGAGTCAGAGCGCAGCATGAGCGACAACAGCATACCGCTGACCAGATTCCTGTAACAGTCTCAAGAATACCAAGAGTCGCGAACATTGAGGCGATAGCTATGTATACGGGAATATAGGCGGCAATATTCCAGAGAATGACAATGAAAAAGCCGTAGATGGCGACAAGTGCCAATCCAAGCAAAACTGATATGGTACAGAAAAATAAGAGGACGCCCATCTGAAAATTTCAACAATACGTATTTATGAGTATAAAACAAGCCTGGTTGTAATAACTCACTTCCTATTTTCTCTCACCCGAGCAGCAAATTGCAAGATATGGCGTGAACAATAGAATTTTGCGAGGTGAAACGCCGAAAGAAATGAAGGAAGCATAGCAAAGTAATTTCCTGCTGAGATCTTTTCACCCTAACTAAGTGAATGATAGATGTGTGTACAAGAGGGTCGAAAGAAATATTGGAATGCAAAGGATAACTTGCAGAGGCAAGCTTTGGTTTTTTTTTGCGTTCAATCTTAAGATTTTAAGTTAGTTACTTTGGCCAGGCTTCTTCAAAACTTCTCAACTAACAGGAACTTACAAACGCTTTTCGGGAAGACGTTGTTTCTCTGAGACTGGCGAACATGCCCAGAGTTCCTGAGATGCATGTCTGCAGAAGAAGAGAAAACAGAATATTTTTATCAGTTTGTGACAATATTCCTTGTTACTCATTTTACATTTAAGAAACAAACAATAGACAATGTATAGCTTTAAAAAGCTCCAGTGTTGGAGGAATGAAACTACAGTATGGTTTCAAAGAGGTAGTAACGGCTTATTTGTGTTCATCGTGATTGAACTTCCCAGAAAATCCTGCTCGGTGCCCCCCCGCAGGGGGGGTTAATCACAGAAAAATCAGCTGGGGGTGTGCGGCCTGCCTCCCAAAACCCTTACCCTATCCAAGACCAAAATTCTGTGATTTTCTCTATCCTATTTACGACCTAACCGAAAATGTGACACCATATATCAGATATGACCCTTAAATCAATACCCTGTTTCAAACCTGTCTTATAATTAATCCCCTAATTCAGAGTGAGACCGATTTTAAAGGCATTGTGAAGGGCTTTTGTTGATGGTCTTATCGATAATGATGAAAAAGTAGCTTCTTCTAAAAAGCATACCAAATAAGTTCAAGCCTAGCTATAGAGTGCAAAAACCATACCCTATTTGAGACCAAAATGGCCAAAATCGATACCCTATTAATGACCAAAAGGGATAAAAATCTCCGGGCTCGACAGCCGTTTAACTGAAGCAATAATTGCTGTCTGACATTCTTGCAAACCCACGAAAAACGTGTGGAGAACTCACCCATATGCCAATCCATATTCCAAAATATAAATCACCGGTCCAAAAGAGGCTTTCAAAGCGATCAGCGATGCCTAAACAGACGAGTACGATCCCTATTAAGATGTGTGAAATGCCAAGAGTTCTTAAATTTGCCGAGTTATCCGCCATGGTGTTGCGGAGTTTCGAACCAGTCACGGTGCCCATACAGATGATGAGCTCTGAAAGTGATGTCGGAAGTCTGGTGCGTATCCCAGCATCATACTCGGGGTCTAAAACTTAAGTTCTTCTCATGCTGAACAATTACGAGATATATTTAACAACTTACTAACAGTACAAAAATAAATATATTTCTAGTTAGTTTTAGTATCTTGCGAGTATGAACACGCTTTTGGCCAGCTTTACTCCTAGCAGTTTCATAACACAGTCACTGAACAATTCTCGTAGGTTCGAACCTCTTTACACCCTTAGGGGTTTCTTATTGCTTTTTACGACTGTAGTAATCTCCCTTTCACAAGCACAAGTTTGAGCGTTGTTAGCAGAAAGCACTACTTTATTTCAATTTTAGGGAGATTTATTTCTTATTTTGTCTGTGTGTAGAGAGGTACTTTTAACAGTATGCCAAAAATCCCGGAAATTTCGGTCGAAAGTCAAATGGAAAGATCCGTTTCGGTTCGGTCCGTCCGGAATATTCAAGAGCATCTCTGGAGCTCAAAAATTTTCCGACCGGCTCGTTGCCCTACTTCTCTTCAGCAGATTTCACTTATGTGGGGGATCGGGGAAAGGAATAGAAAATGGTAGGAACCACTCTTCTCGGCTGGCCAAGTTTGATGGGAAATTCTCGTTTTATTTTTCTTTCGTAAGTCCCACTGGTATCTGTCCGGTATGGCATAAATATTAGGGAGCTTTAGCAAACCACGACGGCGACGCCAACGAGAACGTCACCGACAAAAGGTTCAATGAGCAAAACAATGGTTCTGCACACGTGTGCGTTTTGAATCTTGGTACATTTCTTACCTGTCATTTGCAGAACAACAACGTGAAATGACCAAGTTCTGCGTATTTTGGAGAATGTGAACCGCAATGGCTTATTTTTCGTAATTTCCTTTGGAATTGAACGCAAACATTGCATATTTAACCTGAGCAAGTTTTTAGACCGATAGGCGTACTGAGCATATCTACACAGTTGCGACATTCGAAGGTAAAATATTTATAGGATATTACATGCCCGCGCGTGGATACGAATTTTATCTTCGAATGTTCAACTCGATATTGAGTTGAGTTGAGCTTGAGTTGAACACGACGAATGAATGACGTTTTTCCGAAGATTTCCGGAGATTTTCCAAAATTGTTCCGAAGGCCAGACGAACGCTTCCGAACATTTTGCGAAGATTACCGAAGATTGCCGAAGACGACCGAAGAAGATCCGAAGATGTTTCGATCATACATCAACAAATTTAAGAGTAGTTTGAGGGACAAAAGAAAAATGTTTTCA